AATTCAATAACATTTTTTTTTATGTAGTAGTTCGGCAAACGGGCACACGGATTACCTGATGGTAAGCAATCAGCGCCGCCCATGGACACCCGCAACGGAGGAGTTACGAGTGCGTTGCCGATCTTTTAGGGATAAGGGATTTGGAGACTCAGGAATTGAGGAGGGAATTGGGGGAGGGGAAGGATTGGGCCTCCGGCAACCTCACTCACACGGCGAAACACAACGCTGTGGTTGTTTCACGCCAGTTTTCTGTGAGGCCGTGGAATCACTCCGGTCGAGCCGACCCATTCGTGCCAAAGCATGGCTCTCCCACACTTATAAGACATATAAAGAAAGACATTTCCTTACTTTTTTCTGACATTATTATTTAATAAAAAGTCCTTTATTTGTTGCAAAAAACACCAAGTTTAAGAAAACACTATAAAACCCATACACAGATAATAGAATAGACAAGCTATTAAAACAATAATAATGGTTAGAGCGAGAAAGTGCAAATGGAATATATGTAGGTGTGCGCAAGACAAAACATACGCTTCTTGTCCCTTTTTAGCGTAATTATGCTTTATTTTATTTAAATCGAACCAATACGGTAAATTAATACGGTAAATTGCAGTGAAATTGGCTGTAAAAGCCGTAGTGAGCCGTTTAATGTACATACCTACCTATAATGTATATATAAGACATTTTTTATCTCACGTCGTATACGCTATTAGCTTCTATATACATAGACTATTCTATGATAAAACCAAACGATTCAGTTTGAAATCAAGACACTTTTGAAAGTTTTGAAATATCAAAAATGACATTTGGTTCAACTTCATTCATTATTGATCAGTGTTGTCAGTTAAAGAAAAATACCCACAAATAAACACGTTTTTTCTAGGGAGGAAGTTGTTCATTGCACTGGCAACAAATTAACCAATGGTTATGTTTGACTATAGTTAAAGTGGACATCAAAAAATGAAATTACGTAATAACAATTGGTTACCCTCTTGACTATAGTTAAGATAACAAATAGTCAAATCGTATTTAACTACGGATCAAAAAACTGGCCCTAAGGAGTCTATGTCATATTGTTCTGTATTCTTAGATGTCATAATAGTTTCCCTGACGACTAACAAAAAAAAAATCATACAAAGGGCACGGTTAGATTAAATTTGGAAACCATCTAGCCAGGGCATAGTTTGCTCAATTCACTTTGAAGAGATATATTTATGACAAATATGGTTTGAAAACAGCATATCCTACTAAGATATATCTATACTAATTATAATGCTGAAGAGTTTGTTTGTTTGATTGCTTGAATGCGCTAATCTCAGGAACTAAGTAAAGTAAGTAGACTTCTAATCTTTAGTTCCGAGTCTAAAGACAATACATACTAAACCAGCAAAAAACGCAATAAAACCTCTGTACTTATTAAAGCTTTGTTTTATTTGTTGTGTATAGTAGGTGTAACTAAAATTGACACAGTCAGAAATCGTTTACTTTTATGATACCTCTATGAAATGTGTGAACAACTAGTCTGTTGCATTTTTCGTCAGTTTACCTATTTTGTTGGGTTTACCCATATCTTACCCTCCTGTTGTAAAATTACCCCAAACCAAGGGAATTGTTCCACTGCCGGCAACACTACGCGGGTGGGAAGTGCGGCTGGCGGGGGGATTGACGTATTGTTTTTGGACACATTTGACGACATGTAATGTAAAACTGAGTAAAATGAGTGAACGCGGATTCTGGTTCCAAAACTTAAAAATTTTACCTATTTGTAATATTAGTATAGATAAGTCAAAGAAGAGAAAAAAAAATGTTGGATAGGGTAAAAGGAACTGAGCAGCGGGTGACATCGAGAAGGTCTAGTATTTATATACCAGTGGTCTATATCGATAAAACTAAAATAAAGAAGTGTCCAAATATGATTATTTATATATCTACTTAGGTGTGCATTTCACGGACTTTTCAGTTAACAGGTAACTGTCCTGGTTTTCCAGTCCTGTAGCACCGCCTTGAGTGATCATTTATGTAAAGTTTTGAATAAAACCATTAGGTACATACATTACTTAATGTGTGCCACAGCTACGAAGTTTCCTATTTCTTAGTTATGTCAAGAAGTCTGCAGGTAGATATAAAATCAAACTTCCAAACTAATATTATAAATGCGAAAGTAACTCCGTCTGACTATCTTTTTTACGCCTAAACTGCTGAACCTATTTGTGTGAAATTTGGTACAGACATAGGTTGGAACTCGAGAAATGACATAGGATAGTTTTTAAACCAAAAACCTGCAGGAAGTCACTATTCCACGCGAAAAAACTCGCGGGCAAAAGCTAGTACCTTTATAAATGCAGACCTCTATCTTATTATACTCTTTGTGCAGACCAAAGAGCAGCAGGTGAGAAGACATGATCTCTCAAATGTAACATTGACAGTGATTAGCAGTTGGGGTCCGGTAATAATATACAAAATTTTAGTTAAAGTATTTGGTATTAACAAGGCTGTGAAGCATGTTTCGGTCGGCGTCCGTGAAGCTACAAGTGGCGTGTCGGCCGAGTGGCACGGTGCAGAAGCGTGGGATGGCGCGCGGGGCGCGGTCGCCGCGCGTGGCGTCCGCGCTGCAGCCGCAGTGCGCCGTGTTCCCGCGCGCGCCGCGCAACGAGCGCGTGCTGGAGCACTGCGCCGGCACCAAGGAGCGCGAGTGCCTCACGCACGAGCTCACCGCGCTCACTCGCAACCCCGACAACATTCCGATTATTTTAGGCCCAGAGAAAACGACTAATGGTGATTGCTGTCTACAGGCGATGCCTTTTGATCATCAACTGATCGCAGCGTATTTTCATCGAGCTTGGCCGGATAGCATAGCACAAGCTATGGAGGTGGCCACCGCGTGCCAACCCAGTTGGGAGCGCACCTCTGTCGACGAACGCTGTGGCGTGCTCGAGCGCGCTACTGACATGCTCGCTGGGGCTTTCCGCCAGCGGGTCATCGCAGCTGCCATGATCGGCCAGGGTATGACTGCTATCCAAGCTGAACTCAACATGTGTCAACTAATTGATTATTTGCGGTTCGGATGCTATTTTATGAGAGAGCTCACGAGGAGTAAAAGTCTGATCGAGGGCGGAGATAACGCGATCAACCACAACCAATATCACGGCCTCGAAGGGTTTTGGGCCGCGATAACGCCTTACAATTCGCTTGCGTACGCTGCACAACTGGCGATAATACCGGCCATCGTAGGGAACTGCGTCGTGTGGAAACCCAGTGAGCACTCCGTGCTCGCCTGCTATCGTGTGTTTGAGTGCCTGCAGTGCGCGGGCCTTCCTCCCGGCGTCATCAACTTCGTGCCAGCCGACGAGGATTGTTTCCTGGAAGCAGTGTGTGCCAACAAAGATCTAGCGGGTATCTCGTTTGGCGGGACGACGCGCACTCTGGAGCATATTTGGCGCACAGTCGGCGCGAACATCGACCAGTACACACGTTTCCCTCGGATCGTCGGCACCGGGAGTGGCAAAAACTTCCACGTGGTGCACTCATCGGCGAATTTGGCGAATGCGGTTGCGTGCACTGTGCGAGCGGCTTTTGAGATGGCGGGACAGAAGTCCTCGTCGTGCTCCCGCGTGTTCGTGGCCCAGTCAGTACTGGACCGGTTCACGCAGTGCCTCGCACAAGTGGCACAGTCCCTCGTGGTCTGTCATCCTCTCGACTATAGATGTTTTACGTCTGCACTCGCGTCGCAAGACGGTTACAACAAGGTTGTTACATTTGTCTTAGTAGGAACGCGACGTCTATTTGTTTCTTTTTAAATGAACAGCAGATGTGTCAAAGGTGTATGGGTTCCTGGAGCGAGCGTGCAGGGACGGCGCGGTGCGGATGGTGTGCGGGGGGCGCGCGGACGCGGCGGTGGGCTACTTCGTGGAGCCGACGGTGTTCCTGGTGCCGGAGCCCACGCACGACCTCATGTGCCACGAGCTGCGCGGCCCCGTGCTCGCCATCTGCGGCTTCCCCGACAACGACCCCGAGGCTCTCGTGTGGGCTGTCTCCCAATCGCAATACGCCATTACTGGATCTATATTTGCCCGCGTGAGTCGGCTTGCTCTATGACTGCCTAGGAACGTACAGACTTGTATGTATGAAGCTTGCGGCAGGTAATCGGTAAGTAATGTACTATATTAGAAATAAGAGCACATTATGTACCTATACATAATACATATATGTGGCACGAGGGCTCGGATGGAACACTGAGGAAGGATTGTTTTTTCTCTCTTGTGTGAACATTCACACACTCTACATTGGTGTTGGTTTAAAAAAGAAAGGTAATTGTAATCATTGCGAAGTAATACTAATTCTAGGAAAAAGTTCCTAATGCTACTGTTGATTCAATTCAGCAATTGAGATGTACCCTGTATGTAACACGGCGACACCGCTCATTCAGTAGTTTAAGTTAGTTAGTGTCCAATACACTTTTCCATAGAACGCACGTTGTTTTGTTCAAATTAGTCGCATGCGAATCTCGACCTTATCACCCTAACAGCTACTAGTGAACGTACACAATAAAGATGATGTGGTGCAGTATCGTCGGATGGCAGAATGTAACGTGCGGTGAGTGTGTGCAGGACACGCAGTGGGCGCAGTGGGCGGTGAGCGCGCTGCGCGAGTACTCGGCCGCGCTCTACCTCAACGAGCGCTGCTCCGAGGAGCTGCCGGGCCAGCAGGCCCTGGGCGGCACGCGCAAGTCGGGCGCCAGCGGGGCCAAGGTAGGCGGCGGGGGCGGGGGCGCGGGGGGCGCGGGGCGGAGCCCGCGGGCGCTAGTGTAGCTGGGCGTGTTGCAGGCGGGCTCCATGTCGTACCTGCTGCAGTTCGCGACGGAGCGCTCCATCAAGGAGTCGCTGCGCGCCTGCACCGACGTCACCTACTCCTACATGGACGAGATGCCGCCCAGCGTCGTGCTCAAGTGACTCCGGCCTCTCCTTGGGTTACCGTGCAGCAATAAAAGTCAACACAGTATTTTCTAAATATTTTATTGCAATTTAGGATCAATAATACATTACGGATATATAAAATACAAATAAGGCAGCAGCAGCGTGGTGACACCGGCCGCGACCTTTGTACGCGTCACGAGCTCATCACAATGTGGCGGCGGAGGGCGACTCGGACACTTCGATATTACAATATTTCTTTTGTACACGTTCCCTAATTAGTTGCTGGCGTAATACTGCGCCGACTCGCACCCCACTTAACTTAAATAAACTTGCAACATTGCATTACTACGTTATCGGTTACAACTTATTGATAATAATGTACCAGCTAACTGTCATAGTATGCATAAAGTACGGTATAACTAGGCATTGGCAAGTGACAGGGACTCCCTCGTCTGTATACATTATATACCTACATACCTCGAGTCACGTGCGAGGCGACGCACACTGGAGCCACGCTCCGTCCTACGCTCATTCATTCTCCTCCATGTCAATCACTATTCTAAATTGATAAAAGCAAGAAAGAAAAGTAGACTACGTTTAACTATAACATATTTACTTAGAGCGAATACATATCTATAGTCTTTAAAATAATAAGAGATGAAAAATAAAATTGAATGAAGGGGAAGAATTTGGTTTGTGCATACAACACAGAATAACAGACTGCGCAGTACTGGGCAGCCTAGGGTCCCCACACAACGTACAGGTTTATATTGTTCCGCGTCACACACAAGCAAATAATTGGTAAGTTTAAGACAATATCACACCTGCCGAGGAGTTGCAGCATCCAGTTTCGGCTCGGTTTCTTACATCACGAAGTTACGTCAGCATATTGACACGTTTTGCTCTCTAAGATCTAATCCTCAATTCTCTGTCGCGCTAACATATGAGTAAATCAAATCGAGGGCTTAGCAGTGGTAAGTCGGGCGCGGGCGAGGCAACCAGCGCAGCGCCCGTTACAACAACACTCCTATTATATACAAATTACAAAAACTTTCATGTCCATCGTTGAATCCTCCCGCTACTTTACAACCCATTGACGTCGTCTACTATCGAATTACACTTGTATAATTGTAAACGTTTAAAAATGTCAGTACAATATTTTTACAAAACATAGGAATGTCATCAGGAATGAGTATAACGTGATCACACGCGGCTCGTGTGCGAGCCAGATTGGTCCATTTGTCTATGCTGGCCATAGACAAAGAACAACATAATGTATACCATGTTTATATTAAAATGCTCCAAAATGGTTGAGGACGCTACATTGGCGTCGTTTCATTATCAGCTAATCAGTCGCGCTTGGTCAGTAAGCGTTTTGTTTTGGTTCCGCGCTGTATCGCTAACTACAGATATGACTCGATGTACCTTAACCTATGCGCGGATTACAGTAGTTGAGCAGATTTGAACAGGAATGACAAGTACCGGCCTCTGCGGCACCCGCAGCAGGCGGCGCGGCGGGCTCCCACCTGCACACACATGTCCTCTATTACTATTTATATTATATAATATATACGAATAGGAACTGACCTAGCCATTCACCTGTAATAATACCAGGCAGAGTTGTGGTGGCAGTGTATGGCTACGTGCCTGGCGGGGTGGTGGCAGTGTATGGCTACGTGCCTGGCGGGGTGCTGGCAGTGTATGGCTACGTGCCTGGCGGGGTGCTGGCAGTGTATGGCTACGTGCCTGGCGGGGTGGTGGCAGTGTATGGCTACGTGCCTGGAGGGGTGGTGGCAGTGTATGGCTACGTGCCTGGCGGGGTGCTGGCAGTGTATGGCTACGTGCCTGGCGGGGTGCTGGCAGTGTATGGCTACGTGCCTGGCGGGGTGGTGGCAGTGTATGGCTACGTGCCTGGCGGGGTGGTGGCAGTGTATGGCTACGTGCCTGGCGGGGTGCTGGCAGTGTATGGCTACGTGCCTGGCGGGGTGCTGGCAGTGTATGGCTACGTGCCTGGCGGGGTGCTGGCAGTGTATGGCTACGTGCCTGGCGGGGTGGTGGCAGTGTATGGCTACGTGCCTGGCGGGGTGCTGGCAGTGTATGGCTACGTGCCTGGCGGGGTGGTGGCAGTGTATGGCTACGTGCCTGGCGGGGTGGTGGCAGTGTATGGCTACGTGCCTGGCGGGGTGGTGGCAGTGTATGGCTACGTGCCTGGCGGGGTGCTGGCAGTGTATGGCTACGTGCCTGGCGGGGTGGTGGCAGTGTATGGCTACGTGCCTGGCGGGGTGCTGGCAGTGTATGGCTACGTGCCTGGCGGGGTGCTGGCAGTGTATGGCTACGTGCCTGGCGGGGTGGTGGCAGTGTATGGCTACGTGCCTGGCGGGGTGGTGGCAGTGTATGGCTACGTGCCTGGCGGGGTGGTGGCAGTGTATGGCTACGTGCCTGGCGGGGTGGTGGCAGTGTATGGCTACGTGCCTGGCGGGGTGGTGGCAGTGTATGGCTACGTGCCTGGCGGGGTGGTGGCAGTGTATGGCTACGTGCCTGGCAGTGTATGGCTACGTGCCTGGCGGGGTGGTGGCAGTGTATGGCTACGTGCCTGGCGGGGTGCTGGCAGTGTATGGCTACGTGCCTGGCGGGGTGGTGGCAGTGTATGGCTACGTGCCTGGCGGGGTGCTGGCAGTGTATGGCTACGTGCCTGGCGGGGTGCTGGCAGTGTATGGCTACGTGCCTGGCGGGGTGGTGGCAGTGTATGGCTACGTGCCTGGCGGGGTGGTGGCAGTGTATGGCTACGTGCCTGGCGGGGTGGTGGCAGTGTATGGCTACGTGCCTGGCGGGGTGGTGGCAGTGTATGGCTACGTGCCTGGCGGGGTGGTGGCAGTGTATGGCTACGTGCCTGGCAGTGTATGGCTACGTGCCTGGCGGGGTGGTGGCAGTGTATGGCTACGTGCCTGGCGGGGTGCTGGCAGTGTATGGCTACGTGCCTGGCGGGGTGCTGGCAGTGTATGGCTACGTGCCTGGCGGGGTGCTGGCAGTGTATGGCTACGTGCCTGGCGGGGTGGTGGCAGTGTATGGCTACGTACCTGGCGAAGTGGGTGGCAGTGACTAGAACAGTAGGTCGGTGGCGTGAGTACGCGCCTCGCTCCAAGAGCGCGCGGCGTCGGCCCCGCAGGGTCGCGCGTCGCCCTCGCCCTCCGCCTCATTCCGCGTTTCTTCCCGTGTTTCCGCCGCTTCTGGCGCACCTGCAGAGCTCGCTGTGGGACCACATTTACTCTACTTAGTCCACGTGTATTTTATTTTTATGTATATTAACGGTATTTTGCAAATAGCGGTAACCAAACCGCCACAATACTTAGCAACGTTACACTGGAGGTAAATGTTAAGCATTGTTGTTATTAACTGAAACTACTGACCTGCGTCGGGCGGGGTGACGCCGAGCGTGAAGGCGGCGCCGCGCGTCTTGTGCGGCCGGTAGCGGGACAGCGCCGCCGAGGCTGAGGACACACACACTACGCTACTGCGGTGCTACGCTGCTACAGTGCTACGCCGCTACGGAACTACGCCGCTACGGCACTAGCCAGCAGCAGCACACTGGCAGAAAGCTCACGCATTCTTTACACAAATATCAACGTGCTACGGTGTTGTCGATACTTAAATCAGTGCATTTCATATTTTTATATAGACAGGTAAGTCATGGTGAAGAGGTATTAGTGCCCTTCGCGTGAACACTGGACACGGTCGATAGACTAATAACGTGGTCAATATGTGAATAACAAGATAGCGATAAGTACTTGGTGATGGACTGACGAGAGTACGAGAAGACAGAAGCAAATAAAGTTACAGAATGTCTGACACTGGTGCCGGTAACAAAGCCGCTGGAACGTAACTCTTGGGTATGCTATCTAAAACTGAAGGATTCATTGCGTTGTTTGTAGGAAACAATGAGCAAATGTCATAAGAGAAGTAGATGACCAAAGAATAGACGGATGTATCACGGGTGACCTCGGTGACATCACGATCACGGAGGAACTAGGTACATACAAAACTAACCGTAACACAAATGCAGTCCGGTGCTTTTAGCTTTACAAAACGCCGAAACCTTGTACTACAACAGCATAAACTCTCGGAAGAAGTTTTAGGTTGGGACGAAGAGGTTTATTGCTTTTTAATCAGCAACAGAGTGAAGGATTCTATCATTACTCTGAATTATAATATTGACTTTTTTAAACCTCTGTACCTCCAAACCTCAAAAATCAACTACTTCTACTACTACTACTTTATTTTCTTCCATAATTACTGCTGTCAATCCGTGTGTTTATCTTTTAACTGGGATGTGTCTGTGTCTTTTTTCAATCACGACATAGACGAGCAAAATGCCTTGTTACAATGATGTTACAATCTTAATTATAATAATTGTGGTTAGAAGATTTATTCGACCTAGCTTTAAAAAATATTTACAACAACAGCCTTTCTGTTGTCGAATCAACAGTATTGGGAATTTGCAGACAGTGCTCAGTTGTATTGTCTAGTTGGGACGAGGGCAGGAAGCAGTGTGCATGTATTGAATAGTACGCCTAGTGTTTTACGATCACAACAATCCGTCTAGCATAAGTGCACAGCCAGCAGTCACACGAATGTCTCGCGGCGCCGCCTCGCTCTATGCACTATTATCACTTCTCCCAGCTCAGTTGTCGCTGTGGGGACTAATGGGGAAAACAAATAACATATATAAATGGCATATACCCAGTACCTAGTGAAATCGTGAGCATTGCTTTCAGACGTCTGTGGCACACATAATATTTTGGTTAACAAGTCTGTTATGGTAGTTTTCCAAAAATAGGACGGGGCCGAGTGCGCGGCAGACGGCGTAGTATGGCAAGAGACAATTACTGATATGTGTGTTGGCGGCGAGCGGCGCGTGCAGCGCGGGCTCGGCCAGCTGCGGCGGGCCCGGCGCCGCGTCCGCCGCGCCCTCCTCGCTCAGTGACGTCTCTGAAGGGTACTCGAACGTGCGCGTCAGCGAGTCGTCAAACTGCAGTTTTAACTGAAACCAATTATGCGCCACAATGAATACGAGACAATAATGCGAGCGTCGGGTAGAGAGGAACTGGATAGTGCCTGTGGAACCATACCTTGGCGATGCGGTCTCTGTTGGGTCTGGTGGGCATAGAGGAGCGGCCGTTGATGAGTACGTTGTCGTTGACGAAACGCACGCTGCAGGGGGAGGGCGGGCTCCCGTCCGTGCCGTCCGGCTCCGTGTCCGACTCGGAGTCGGACCGCAGCAGCGCGTCGGGCCGCAGCACCACGACGCCCGGCTCGCCCGGCTGTAAGCATAAACTGCCGCTCACTGTCTGTCACGCCATGTTCACCGGACGACAACATTACTATGAACACACGAAGGGGTGGATACATCCACTTAACCCAATTACTATGTCCATCCATATATTATCCTGGCGTTCCTCGTTATCAAAAACTTGCCAAACGAAATGAGGTTCGCAGTTCCGGCCGCTAAACATTGGTTACGACTTTATATATTTGATAAGCGTTTAAAATATCAGTTCTGTCTGCTGTACTACTAGCATAATATTTGATTAGATGACTTTTAAAAAGTTGCATATTATTTATTTAAAGAAATAATATTATGTAATATAATAGTATTCAAATGTATGCGTAATTTGTATAACAACTAACTCTGCCCGCGTCTAGAAGCTTCTGAATATCCCTAGAACGCAGTAGTTCTAAATCTCATCAAACTGTGCGCTGGTAGCGGATGCGGTGCAGCGAGGTTTTTTTAGGGGAATTCTTCTGGTGGGAAGCTATCGGCGCCGTCGTCGTCTAAGGGCACCCGAAACATCAGCGTTACTAGCATGTTGCCGGCCTATTGAAGGTTGTTAGGAGTTGGGATTTGGTGAGTTTGAAGTGTGGGAAAGCCATACTTCGCGGGGTGATGATAGCATGGCATCATAGAAAACCGGCCTGAAACAAGGCTTGAGTTGTGTTTCGCCGTTTGAGTGGGGTTACCAGAGGCCCATTGCACACTTATATTCACAAATCCCTCAATCTGCTAATCCCTTTCAGACATAATGATCGGCAACCCTGCAATTGCCTTGCGTTGCGGGGTTGCCGTGGACGGCGCTGGTTATTTACCATCAAATGATTGGTCATCTCGGTGGCCCGGCCTATCCTATAAATAATTGTTCCCGAGATTGTCGCATACCAAAGATGTATTCGAGACAACTGGATCAGAGAATTTTTTCCGCCTTGAAGCTCTTGAGGAACACGAGGATTTTCTTAGATATATATGGGGCACGTTCACAACTATATAGTATAAGTAAGTAGCTGGCAGGTTACACAAAACCTGGGTATTGTATAGTAGCGTCATTCGAGCGTTTTTTACGTTTGTTTCTGCGGATCTTTGGACTTATATTGCAACTCGAGAAAAACTTCTTTTTTGTTTTAACATCTTCACGTTTTAAGCTAATTAAAATTATTGTCATTATGTCACCTGAGTATAACAATATTTTGGCAAAATAGTTACACTAACATTTACATTACAAACACAACTGTACAAGTTGTCATCTGTGTGGTGGCAGTAAATGATCTACATTACATTCTGGTTTCGTAAAATAATGGTTAAGCGTTTAATAAGCTTAGTGCGTCCGCGTGAAGCACCCGTGAGTCGTGAACGACTAGGTGCGGAATGTAACTGGCGTCCGGTGACCGTGACGGGTTCAAGGGAAATGTGGCCGGACCGGTGCCGTGGGAGCCTCGAGCCACTGCCCGCCTTCATATCAATGGCTGCGTTTAAAACAGGATGCTTCACTTCAAGCACATGGTATTCTTTCTAAAATTATTATCCTAAGGTATAAATACACGGTTTGTTTTGATACATGTCAGTTAAATATATTTATTTAGTAGAAGTGCCCTCTTACATTACAGCAGGCCGGGATTCTGCATTTGCAATACTAGCTACCATTTGTATTAGCATATCTACGTGATTTTGAAAGAAAATTCGACAAATCATATTCCGTTCCGCCTTAGACAGAGTTAGGAAAATAGTTGTTCAAAACTGTTAGAAGCAAGTTTTGTTAAAGTATCCGCAGTATACCTACCTACTCGTGTGCCGCGTGACAGATATTGATGGTATATCTGTTGTATGTGCTCCATGTATCCCTGAAAGAATCTTAATCTGACGGCTCATGTGGAGAACGTGGCTGTGCGGAAGGGTGGAATGAGAACCCATCAACTCTAATAAATCACGCTCATATTGTGGGACTTTTGGGATGCGTAGTATTCGTCTTTGTAATTATGTAATGAACTTATTGGTCTAAGCCTGACAAAACTAGACTACATTTATTATTTTCATATAGCGATCGCCTTCCTATCCAGGCCTAGTAGTACAAACTGGTTAATCGCTCTAGTGACGTAGAGATCCCTTCCTGTGTTCCCCTGGCATTACAATTAAAGCTGCATCATGGCAACTATTGAATTATTTAGCATAGGTCCCTAGAATTCAGTGATAATGTTGTAGTAGGCAGTTGTTGCAACAGATATACTCATTCTCTGAGACCCCGTGGAGCCTCCACAGCGAAACTTGCTTTATATTGAATGCACTGCAGCTGCTAGATGCGTTGCTGTGGACCAGCTCACAGGGGCACTGACTTCTTTATATAATAAAGGAGTCGGTGCCCCTGTAGTGTTACCAATGCCTACCGGACTGGTAAAAAATAATCTATAATCCTTTAACTAAATACGAGCTCATATCGGCGTACAACACAAACATCTTACGACCTTTTTATACAATAAAAGCTCCACTATTCTCTAATGCCCGGTTCCTATAATTGAGAAACGATCCGTTTTAGTTACGAATAGTAGTTTTATATACGACTCGTAAGCTAAAACCGTTCCTATAACAAACGTCTCGTCGTGCAACTTACTGACGGTTTGCAACTAACGGATGTCGGTAAGCGAATTGTATGGAGATCTATGGTGTCTGTGGTGTTCCTATAAATATTTTAACCGTCAGTAGACGGTCAAGATAACTATTCGTAATGTCATTTGGTCGTAATGCGTATAAAAAGACGATTCGTTAAATATAGGAACCGGGCATATATCCTCAAACACATTACTTAGAATTTCCCATTTATCAGATACACACACACAGATTATAGAGTCAAATATTTTTTTTTGTACATTAAATTCAGTACAATACATAGTTACATTCTCGGAGTTTTAGTTTAGGTTCGACGAACGTAATGTCATTTTCTGTCCGTAGAAGTAAGTGTAGATGTTGGAAATGAGTTTTGTTTATTAGCACACCTTTTTTTCTCGAGTAAGTTTATGTCCGACGAGTACACGCACACCAGGCCGCGTACAATAAAAGTTACAAGCATAACAAATAACACGGTGGCCGGGCGACGCGCGACGCCAGTAAGGCAAACAATTTATGAATAATGTTTACAAAACACAGTCACATGTATGTTTCTACCCAAGTACTGAGCACCGTGTCGCTATTACTGCTCGAAAAAAGAAACATTGTCTTTATCACAGTTTTCGTTATCAGAACCGTACCTTGATTTGGAAGACTGGGCCGTCATCACGTATGTTGTCTCGGAGGCTGCTCAGCATGGTTATAAATAAATCAAGAAGGTATAAATATCTAGCTAAACATATTTAGGAACATGGTTTACATAATCCATATATGTTAGAATGAAATAGATAAAAAAAAAGGATCAGTAACCGTAGTCGAGGTATAAAGACGACAAACAGAAAAGGTTAAGTTGGAGGCTAAAATGTTGTATTGCGGTGGTCGATCCAAACCAGCGTCGTATTGGTGAGGTGAGTGGCGCCGCACTACGGCCGCTGAAGGCAGCGCATGCGATAGCGTATCTTAATCGAGGATAATACGGGTGATTACTGCCAACGTTTTATCGCACTCGCCTAAAATATTTTTTTAATCTTTCTTTAAGTAGGTACATTATAATCTTGTTTCAATAATATGTTAAGGAATTCATTGACAACGTTTTTCCTTAAAATTTAAACATCAAGTACCTATATCTTCATTAGCGCAGGCAACGATGTGGTGCCGTGACGCGAGTCTTGTTGCACAGTTAAGCTGAATGCTCGTATGTACTCTGCCACCGAGAAATGAGTAATTACTACGTATAAACTGTATTGGAAGCGAAAGAATCATCGGCCGAATAGTTAAGTCAACAACACCGAAGCACACGAAGCTATATACATTACGTGTAACGCCTAAATGTCTGACTAAGCATGCTCTTACTATATACGTGCAGGGTGCGGCCACAGACTTTGTCGCTTGGCGGCCCTATATACTTACATTATTGTTAGTAGCATAAATTAACTACATATTGAAATGCATCTTAATTTATATAAAAGAAGATAACAGAGGTAGTTTTATTAACGTTTTTTCGATTCCCACAAAATAAGCTGAACCTACGTGTACATCATCAATTAGCTCCACAATCTGTACTACTCGGTGCTTTCATTATTTTCTTATAAATTTAAAATTTAAAAACCCCCGACTAAAATTCTAATATTGCTTTAAAAAGTAACAATTTAAAGAAAACGTGGCATTGTGGGACCGATCCAAACATTTTATTATCAACTACATATTTCTATTTTGTCGGGGGTCTCTTCAAACATGTCTAAGAACAGTCGCACGTAAGTCACCTTTGATAAAAAAAACTGAATTGAAATCGCTTCACCCGTTCAGGCTCCGGGATGCCACAGACAGACAGACAGACAGACATGCCAAACTTATAAAACCCCCTTTTTTGCGTCGGGGGTTAAAAATCATTTTTTCTATTTGTGGTTTGACTGGAACGCCGCCGGACTGTCTCAGATTCTTGTCTTTAAACAGTCTGTATATGGCAAGTCATCTATTCAAAGCATTCGTCATTGGATACTTGTGTACCATATTAACGTTAAAATATTCCTGCCAACAATCGCACTTCCCGGTTAAGGACTAGCTTTACTTTATACTAGCTTCGATGCGGCTGCCTCAATGATCCATCTGTCAGTACATTTGATTACTAAACATTTTTGACATTTGACTTTTAAGGAGCTCCTGCTAACATCGGCAAAGTTTGGTGCAAGATATCGCGTGCCTTGCGGCTAGATTACCTAGTGGCAGACATTGGCAACTACGTATTAAATATATAACTTGCGAATCATCACTTTGATTGTTATAAGTAGGTACCATATACTAAGCAGGTAAAAACCTATTACACTCCTAGAGTGGACGCTTTTTTGTTAGGGGAAAATCATCAAATGACTTCTCCCGCCCAGTTTGGGATGGGAA